AAAGTACCTCAAATGTGGACTTTTTTACACATAAAAAAGCAAAACACCAAAGGAGACAAATTCAAAATACCAATATTATAGCTTGATCCGATATCCAAAAATCGCAGTACAACAATTACATGTTCTTGTAATAAAAAGTACATTTGGGATAAAATATATTCAAGTCAAAAAGTTTACTCTTCAATTAAGACCTGCACATAGAAAAATACTAGAATATATACATGATATATGCAAAACTGTCAATTGCAAAATAAATAATATCATTTAACACTGATCCTTAAAAACTGAAATATTTAAAAAACTTGACGGGTACATCCTCAATTTACAAAAAAACATGCACGTTCAAAAACTAAAGTAATGTTTAAAAATAAAATAAAAGGTTAAATGACCAAACTGGAAGAAAAACTGTGGTATTTACATGAACACCACCTGACAAATGAAAGTACCTGTAGTTCTGGGTGCTTGTTGATTATCAGCTCCCACCTGCAAATCGTTTTGCAATGCCTGGCCCTTCGGCATACCAACCAAGTTTGCCTGAAGGATGGTGAGGTGCACCAACTGTCTAACTGATTTCAAATTTTCATCAATTCCCACAATGGCAAATATATCCTTCACCGACTCCCCCGCCAATCTCTCAAACTCTGTGCGTAGCTGCACCAGGCTATACTCCTCCAATGGGTGCCCCTTCTTGAGTCTACACAGCTCCCCAGAATTAGCATCAGGGTCCCAGGCCTTCAATTTGGCAATAACTGGTAGCAAACTCCCCCCAACATGGAATGTTTGTGCTTTAACACCTGCACTGACGTCTGTGGTGGATCAGCCATAATTAAATGCTAAAATAGAAAATTACCGAACATAAATAAATCAGCATTAAAATATAATTTCCAAAGAAAATACACCTGTTTTTAAAAAACTAAACGAACCTACAGTAGAACTATAAAAACAAAGTATTATGTGTGGAGTGAAATAGCCTCTCAACTAAAATATATGAGGTGTTATAACTTACAATTTTCCCAATCATCGACAAATATTGTAGGCAGACCATGCTGCCGACAAAATAACACACTACACACGTGTAACACTGTACACACATACGTCTAATCACAATACGCCCAAATACCATACGGGCTGCAACCTCAACGGTCGTTAAAAAATTGCTAATATTTCCCACTGTTAGAAATTAAAAATTAAAACAAGCAAACAAGCCTTTTTTTTAAAATATATATCTTTCAAAATGTCCGTCTACCTTCTCCAAAGATAAAACCACATGAATTTCAAATCTCACATTGTGCAGCAACGCACTAATTTTACCGCCAAAAAAGGTCAACTCGAATAAGTTACCAAATAACCTGAATTCAGTAAATAATAACCTTTTAATATTCTAGTCCGTTCACAAAATAGTAAAAGATACCATATTTAACATTTAAAGTCGCACGTGGCAGACCAACTATAAATTAAAAGCAACAAAAACACACCGTTCAAACGGCAAACTCCACTAAAAGGTTAAAACAAATTAAATTAACATTATCCCAAACAGTTTCCGGCTATACCTCCTAACTGTTGTACCAAAATAGAAAATTAAATTACCAACCTAAACTTAGAGTTGCCACTGCAACACTACAAAGTGGAAAACACTGGCTTCTATGAGAGAAAATAGAACACGTCCAGCTAGGCCGGTAACTGCGACCAGAATGAGGGTTCTCGTCACATCTCGTGAGATTTACTTAAGATACCGGCCGGTATTTTTGTATTTGGTTAATCAAAATCAATAAAATTTAACCTCATAAAACCGGCCTTGTCATCTGAAATCACCGATCCGTACATATAATTGTTTTGCAATAAAAGAAGATAATCCGGTCAATCAGGTCACCTGCATGCCGACTGACTACTGTTCAACTGTCAAATTATCTCATTACTTAAGCTAATTATGTGATGACAAGTAAAGATAATTTCACATGCTATTGCTAAATTACAATTCAATCATGATACACAATTTTCAATATTTACTAGAGCATTTTGATTAACTATTAAAGAAATACCATTAAGGTATGGTATATTTAATTTATTATTCCTGCAAAATAAAAAAATAAAATAAGATAAAATAGAAGTTGTAGATGTATTTTATGATACATATAATATACAAAAATAAAATTCACAGAGGAAAACATATATTTTGATTAAAATAAAATACATTTTCATATATACTCAAACACACATATTGAAGGGAACTTTTGATGAATTCAATTTTCAACAAACCGGCCACCCCCACAAACCGGTCGTTTTACGTGGTCCGACGGGCGGCCGGTTTGGAGAAGTTTCACTATAAATAAACTTGGACAAATCAAGAAAAAGAGGTTCTTTCAAAAACGTAAAAGATGCGTTTCCGTTTTCTAATGCAAGTTAAATTAAAAAACTGATTTCTCAAGTTAATTTTCTAAGTCCATGACCATAATTCTGCACAAAATCATCAGACCGGAACAAAATTAAATCTTGATCTGTAACTTGTCATGATAAAACTATGAACCAATTTTCAAATCGAATTAGTACTAGATAACTACATTAAAACACATTACATTTACAATTCGTTAAAAATTCCGACATTTTGCGACGATCCGTGTTGCTACACAGTGAAAAAAATAAAATTACCAATCAGTTAAAAATGTTTTTTCAAATAGGTAGGTATGTTGACTTGGAAAGCAGCATTGCTTTTAGTTCAAATAAGCTGTATAATATATTTTCAAAATACCTAATCAGGGATCTTCCCTGAAAATATAATGGAAATGACGCAACGTCTACATTCTCGTCTGAAAGGTAACATTAGTGTAATTTATAATCACTTTGTGATTCCATTTTAACAGCTATATTCTGTTAAGACTTTTAGAGCACATGCAATCAAATATGAAATAAGGATACCAAGGGATGGCAATGAGATAGTCCAACGACACAAATAACCAGAAATAGATATCTCGTCGAACAATAGTATAAAATATTTGTCTTCTCTACTTTTTTCACAAGTGGTCCTGCTTCCAAAATCAAAAAAATTATGATTAGTTTGTAATTTTAGGAAGGGACAAATCATACAAAGCAAGATGGTTGCAGTTACTTATGTGTTACTTTTGTTGAACGTGTTTTTCTACTGACCGTTGTCATTCCGTGGTGTATCAACTGATACTAATCGACGGGATACTGAATTTATATGTAACAGAATCCTTACGTGTCTTCTAAAAAAGACATGAACATTGATAAGAAGCGAGCATCACAATGCGCTATACAGATGATATCCTCTTATAGAATGATTTAAGCACTGAAACATTTGTGACCTTGTTATTCGCATCTCTCCCTTTGAACTTGAAATAAAAGATACAACAGATACAATTGAATCTTCTTTAACATTTTGACTTGCACATGCAATTGAAAATGACGGTCAGGAAACTACTTAAAGTTACGACAACATTTATATTTGTAATTCTTCCGATTGGTAATTTCCAGTTTTTAAATAGCACATAGTTGAAACGACATTCCAAGGCCTGTGTTACATATCATCAGGATTTTCTTGATAAACGATTGCTTGTTATAAGGAAGTTATTGGCTCTTGATGTTAAGTTGATATCATCGTTACAGTTTACAACCCCACCATGATGTGGTTCACCGCATTGTCAAAAATATTTTCCATTTATTGTTACCATAATGAGATATCAACGAATTCGAATAAGCACCGGTGTTTATCTTGACACAGGCAACACATCGGTTGCCCTTAATGAATAAAGAACTGTTCATAACCCGGATTTGGAAGGGTTTGTGTTAATGAACCTGAAATTTTATATGTAGTGTTTCATGACTGTTGTAAGTCTTTTGTTTTGTTTTTGTAAGTGCTGTTTAGGAAAAGGGGACGGGAGTATGACTTCCAAAAGCGGAACTACTACTTTTCTAAAACACGAGGAGCAAAATAGGTATGGAACAGAATCTTTATGATTAATGTCATCAAAAGAAGGAAAATATCTTAAAATCTTGATTTTATTATTACATGAAAAAGGCGGGCCTAGACAACAATGACAATAAGGATAAGATGTGCATATCTATATTAAAAAAAATCTAGTCTTAAGCAATAAGTATGTTTCATGTCTAATATCAAGTAAAATCAATTACGAAATTATCCAAAAAAACGGACAGCTAATCAGATGGGTTTATTTGAAAGGAAGTATCTTTTTATTATACTTTTCTTTTATTACTTCAATTTTATAATAACTTAAGGATTAAGCAAAATTAAACAGATCCGGAGTTAAGTCACGCTCAGTTTTCAGCATACTGATCAACAAAAGTTCCCCGTCATTTAGAAACTGATATCCTTTAAATATATATCATATTTCTTTAAAGTCACTTTTTAACTCAAATAATTATAGCTATTTCAATCTATTTATGACTCTAACATATTCCTTCCATTTTCAACCTGTGTACGGGTGAACCTATTTTTAAGACAATAAGTTTTGCTAGTTTCTTTGAAATTTTTTGACGTACAAGTGTGGTTAAGGGCTGAAAATATTACTCAAAATACCAGCATTGTGCCTCAATCTTCTTATTTCTGTTTAATGTCAATTCGCCTCATGTTGTATATTTTCTTTGAAAACTGTCTTTTAAAAAAATATTTGTACAGACTATTTTAGAGTATACTGAATTCAGAAAGCAGGCATGTAATGAATCGAATATCAATACAAAGTTCTTGCTGGAGACCACTGGTAGTAAAAGATGATGATTCATTCCCAGTCCCTGTTCTAATTATTTTTGTTGGTGTTGTTCTGTTGAAAGGTATTTAATTTTATCAATAACAAAGGTGTTATCAATGTAAGATGCATTATATAGTTTTCACAAACAAAAACAAATACTTTTCAAAAATTGGCACTTGTTCTTAAAAAAATAGATTTGTAATATGAGAATAATGTACATATTGCATGTCTAGTATAAAATGGAGATATAAGTAAATGTAAAACAATTGTATTCTAAAACAATCTTAAATAGTACAGTAGTCAAAATGGGGTAAGTTGCTTTAAAAGTTAATTACTTATACTAATCTAGTTAGGTGATGGTCCTTGTTAAATTTGCCAAAAAAAATGAATTTATAGTCGAATTAAGAAGGTAATTTTAAACCAGAAAATAAATGAATATATAGTGATTTGATGAAATGCATTCCTCTGGTACCTGAACATTAGCATTCGGTATAGATCAATGGCGAGACGCATGTATTCTCTTTCAAGTCCAATGTATCTTAAGTTTATCTTAATTGCAATGAATTATTTTTTCTTACCAGAAAAAAACCTATTTAAAGCTGGTCTTCACTATATCAACATCTCAACTGATCTGATCCCTCCCACCATATAAATAATTTTATGTCCTCTGTGCTCTTATCAAACTGCTTTGTCATCCTTTGTGCATCTTTTTTGTGTTACAGAGACCGTTCAAATGTTTTTATTCGAACGCCACTGATAAGTCTTTAGACGAACCGCGTCTGCCGTCGACATTATAAATAAAGGCAACAGTAGTATACCGGTGTTCAAAAGTCATAAATCGATTGAGAGAAAACAAATCCGGGTTATAAACTTAAACCAAAGGAAACACATCAACCACAAGATGAAAACAAATGAACAACAGGAGCACTGAAGTGCAACAAAAACAACGCCAACATACATAGAAACGAACAGTCTGGTATTGTGAATTACCTTTCCAACCACTGGGTCAATGCAATTGCTATTCGCATTTTCTTCCAAATAGAATCACAAACCCAGAAGTCAACACACGTTTGCTGACATTTAATATAATTGACACATCATTTACTTAAAATATACTTATGTTTTTCTACCCCAAAGCATTGATGCCCTACCCAGATCTGAATTTCTGTAGACAGAACAGTAAAATTTAAAACATCTCTCCTAAAAAATGAAAATAACACTTTATAAATTTGATGCGTCCGAATCTCTTTTCTGGATTTACCTTCATCGAAAAGGCTAAAATTCCCCCCAAAAAAGATTAAAGCACAGATGTATAAGTACTTGAACACGTGAGGATCTATCTGACCAAAAGGGAAATAAAAAGAAATTGCCAAATCAATTCAAGGTCAAATTTGTCCTCAGCTGATATTTGAAATTACCAGCATTTTGTAACATTTGTCACTATTTTATTTCTAGTTTACCAAACGTTCTTGCATTTTCTATTACAATGTATGTGTTGGGGAGCATGCATCCAGTATTTGGACATACACCATGTAGTACTTGTACATGCACACCTGTGGAGGAAGTTAATTGTAGATGTGACTGCAGCCGCCGATGTAGTATGTACTGTTCTTTGAACTTCATTAATTAAGGAGAATTTAATTTATAGAAAGAAGATAAATGTACTGTTAAATTGTCGATCCTTCATTTATAATTTAAAGCTCTCTTTGATGAATAAGTCTAGTGTATGTTACAGTTATTTGCAAATACCTTTACTGCTATTTAAACTTTAAAAAAACTTGTTTAGGGGAAGGAAAGGGAGGGTGGTCGTTGTTGATTTCAAGCGTGCAATTAAAAACCACAAGTCGAAAAAGAACCCTAATAATACCATGACCAAAACGGAAAGCGACAAGAAAAAAAAAACAGTACTGATTCACTTCACAAACACTAAAGATTGAGCAACACAAGACTCATCAAAAACCGGAAGTGTAAGACAATACATGTTATTTTCATGTTCATGGAAGTAAAACGACATCTTTTTATGATACACGTGTTTTTTTTTTTTTTCAATTTAGCGATATTCATTATTTTGATATTTTGAATTTCTAGATACACAAGAAATTGGATTTCTGGTGAGATTGAATAGCAATTTAATGAACAGACCGAAAGGATCCGATGTCATATATGATGCCGTTATTACAAATGATGGTAATGGCTATAATCCTTCAACAGGAATATTTACAGCACCAGTTCAAGGACTTTACTCTTTCTCTTGGACAACTACTACCCAAGCTAACAAATGCTTCTTCACGTACCTGGCTGTGAATGGAAATATGATTGCAAGAAACCATGCAGGAAAAGATAATGTCAACCTATCAGCAAGTCAGACTGTTGTTGCTCATTTGAAGACACATGATAAAGTAAATATTAAGGTCCAAGATAATTATTTCGCTGATCTTATGTATGGTGAAGGATGGTCAACCTTTTCAGGTTTTAGGATATGAGTTTTTTTTTATTTGCTATTTATTTATGATCGCAAAATAAAATTAAAGCATACATGTATATGTATCTGACTGATATTATCATTTTTTCAAACTGCCAAACAAGCTGTAAGTTACCATATTAGGTTGCATATATTATAATGGGGATATATATGTCACTGTTTTAGTTAAAGTGATTTATGTGTATACAGTTTCACTTTGAATGTTTTGTCATGTTAGATTGAGTTGTGTCTAAAATTGACTAAACAGAGGTGGACACCCTAGTCGAGAATTAAAAAAAAAATTTTGCTGAAGCCTGGAATAGGACACGTGCACGAGTTATTGAAAACATGTTTTTTCAACTGTAAATTAAATGTGTTTTTAAACGCTTGTACAATCAATCATTTGAGATATATCAAAAGTGGTATCACTACAAACCAGTAAAAGTCTGAAATGGCCTATATCTGTACTCGACTGTACTGATTTTTACTCGACCAGTCTGAATTGGTCTGAAATTTACTTGATAATACTCGACTGTAGTCTGAACCATACTTAACAGTCTGAACTTGTACTCGACCCTTACTCGACCAGTACTTAACCATTTTATACGCGTCTGAACCATGCTCGACCTAGTCTGAACCATGCTCGACCTAGTCTGAACCATACTCGACCTAGTCTGAACCATACTCGACCTAGTCTGAACCATACTCGACCAAGTCTCAACCAACCTAGACCAATTTTTTGTATCTATCTATTGTATTTCATCAATTTAGGAACTGTTTTTAACAACAGCTATTTCCCCTGGCTAGAAATTTGAACAACAATTTGAAATTAAAAATGTATTCAATATAGCATTGAAACCAAAATTTCACAATAAACATAATATAACTTCATCACCATATTCATCAACACTTATATACATACATATATATCACCTTTAAAATAAAAATAAAACAAGCTGATAAAATAATCTCAAAACTGAATTGTGACTAATATTTTCAATGTTATTCAAAATTTTTTGAATGTTTCAGATATATTTTATGGTTACTGGACAATTTTCATTTATATAGATTTATGGTGTCAGTTGAGTTTAGTTAAAAATGCAGTGAACATTTTTTTTATTAAAATTTATATAAAATAGCATATAAAGCAACTTAATAAATTTAAAAAATGACACCTTTGATTTGTTAAACCAAGAATTTAATATAATCATGATAATAGAACTTCCATAGTAATCCTGTGATAAACTTTTAAAAAAGGAAATGTGTTCCAAAGTTACAGTAAAAATTTATTTCAATTAAATTTAAATAATTTTTGTCAAAATTAAAGACATGGCATACAAGAAGCACTTTAATAAGGTTTAATTACCTCAGTACATGTGTGTTTTACGGGTAAAATGAAAGCCCTATTTTTCTTAAACTCGTGTATTACTCTAGTGAATTCAAAAGGCCTTGTGATTTAAGTTTTACAGGATGTTGCAATTTTGAATGAATGTTATTTAGAATTTAATACTCTCTGACCAGGTGTGATCTTTTTCATGAGTTTGCCCCAAGCAGGAGGTATTACTTCATACTTCACTACTAATCAGAAGTACAATTTTATTAATTTCTTTAATTTTTATCCCTTTTTGATATATATTGTATATAATATATCCCAAATTATGATAATAGATATATTTCTAAAATAAGGTTAATCAATTTCAGTGATTTTGTTGGCTGTTGTTACCTCATTAAAAAGATAATTATATAACTATTGTACATTTTTTGTATGTAACAATGAAACCTATGTAGTTTTTATTTAGGAATTTAGGAAAATTAATTTAAAAAAAAACACATGCCAAACAAGAAGCACCTTAATAAGGTTTAATTACCCTCAGTATAGGTGTGGTTTTTAGGTAAAAGAAAATCTTTTTCTAACAAAACTCTAAAACTTTAAAATTAATATAATTAAATTATTATATAAGATAATTTGATTTAACTATCTCTATTCGATAAATCTGAGAATCATGTAAGAATGTAAAAATCTGTTTTTATAATATATCTTTATTTTATTGTGGCTGTTATCATGTCAGTTAAAAAGAAATTTATTTTAACAGTTAAAATTTAGAAAAAGTAGAGGTTATTTGGTCAAGTATGGTTCAGACTGGTCGAGTATTGTTCAGACCTTTGGTCGAGTATGGTTTAGACTGAAAAAATAGGTCGAGTACAGGTCGAGAATGGTTTAAGACTGTTTCAGACTGGTCGAGTAATAGTTCAGACTATTTTCAATGGCAAAGATAAGGGTCAAGTACAAATCAGTACAGTCGAGTATGGTTAAGACTGGGGTCGAGTAATGTCGAGTAAAATTCAGAACAATTCAGACTTGTCGAGTAAAAATCAGTACAGTCGAGTACAGATATAGGCCATTTCAGACTTTTACTGGTTTGTAGTGTATAGCTGGTGAAGAATTAAATTGTGCATCAAATTATCCTAAAATTCCAATTTCATCAAAACCAGTCAAAGCTTTTTTCAAATCGGTTTGTTGTTGCTAATTCCGATTTTTATTAAATTTAATATAATCAAAAGGCACCGAATTCGGTTTCGCTATAGTTATCATTCAAAGAGCAGTAATTAATGTAAAAATACACCTTAAAATTCCCAATAAAGGCAATGTTGTAACGTTCAAGATCAAGTCCTTGAAAACATTGCAAACAAGGAGGTTATAGCTTAAAGGTTCTTATGAGAAAATAACTTATAATCATAAATGATTGCTGTGGCAACAAATTTCTTACGTATTATACTCAATTTATATTAATTGTTCGACTGGTTGTAAATATGAGCTAAACAAGTAAGCACATGTACTCCGTATATGGACAAATCTGTGTATTACTTAAGAATATTCATTACATATCAACGTTTTATCTATGCTCCGCTCTATAAATCGGTTATCCCAAAATATGAAAATAAGGAGATGTGGAGATGATTACCAATATCAAAACTTATCCATGTTATACCAAACTTCAAAAATGTGAACAGAACGACCTTCAACAATGAGCAAAAACCATACAGTATAGTAAGCTAGTAAAGACGCCAGGATGATAAATATTAATAATTTCAAAAGAAGAAACCAACGGCCTGGCCTGAATTATCCAACAATAATAGACGAACACCAATTGTAGCAGACAGGAACTGTTGACAACCACTGTACACCAGGCTCCATAACACGGGGCAGGCACCAAAGAACGCAGTTGGTTCAACTATGTCTGCGATCGCACAACTAGGGTGTAACAAAAAATAAAAACTGTATAAATCAGATGGAAAGGGCTTTCCTCATCAGATCAGTACAAGGCACAAAACAAATTACAAAAAGACAAAAGACCCCTAAAATTTATTTAGACATATTTCATTATGCTCCTTGAAATCATTTGGGAGTTAAAATAATCGCTTTGTCCATCCGCCTTCCATCCATCCGTGTGTCGGAAAGAAAAAAATTCCGACTGATAATCTCCACATCCCTTTTTTGATTGCGATGAAATATTTCAAAAAGGAAATATAGGGGGGGGGGGGGGGGTAAGCCTATTGCGTGTGAGGTCAATAAGTCAAACTCAAGGTCACAGTTACAAAACAAAATGGTTTCAGGATGGTAGTTGTGCGTCCCTTTCTCGATTGGAATGAAATTCATAGAAAGAAGATATAGAAAAAGGATAAGAAGCCTACTATTATTTGAAAAGGTGAAAGGTCAAGGTCAATTTGAATAAAAAATGTTTTTTTTTTGTTGAAAAAAATGGTTTCAGGATGGTAGGTTCAGATTTTCTTGCTTGATTGAAATGAAATCTGTGCAAATTGAAGGGGCAGAAGGCTATCGATTTTGGAACAAAGGGGTTGAATACTTAAAATAGATTATAAACTTTGTTTCAGGATGGAATTCCACTATGAATAGTAACACATTTTTAGAAATCAAAATAGGCAACAGTAGTGCATGTTTGTTTGTCCCTGAAATATACTATCATTTTGAACCATTGAATTAAAAATGTTTTCTCTCAAAACTGTGTAGTTCGGGGAGCTTCGGTTGGTAATGCCAGCGTTTCACTTGTTGTAAATGTATTGATGATTCAGGTCTAAAGGCTTAAAAACTTCGTCGTTAAAAAGCTATAAGTTTTGGAAAAATAATAATAATAATGATAATAATTGTTTTATTTAAAGAGGGTAAACACAGTAAGTTAAAACAAACTAATTTTCCGAGAGGCCCTCACATAGAAATTACAATACAATAAAAAAAGACATTTACACAATTATATAGTTCATTGTATCTTTATAAAAGATAAACTAGTTATATAGGTACATGTTATAAAAAATATTATATACAAATCAATATAATACATTATAAAAAAAGGGATCTAATCAGGACTGTGTTAAGTACTTCTTGATACTTAGTTAAAAAGTTTGACTTTACGCATTTTGTATGGTTGTCAATTCCATAGCACTGATCCAGAATGCACAATAGATTTCATAAACAACTCAGGTTTTGGCTCTTAACTATCAGATTACCTTGAGTAACATTTCTCAAAGAGTAAGGGTTATCATCTGATATCAGTTTAAACTTTTGAACTAGGTACATTCGTGCTTCCATACGCACACATTTATATAGAAGTAAATATTTGTAGTATTTAATTCTATTTTATACCGTCATCCACCAAACTTCTTTAAATAAGGGAGCTAAAGGGGATCTTGCAACCCTCTTCTGAAGTTTTAATATTTTTGTTATCTCTTCGTTTTTACATTCTCCCTAAATGATATATCAGTGGTCTATTAAGGGCAGAATATAATGCTTAGGACTATACGGATCACTCTAACAATTGAATGTTTTGATTGAACCTAAATTTTGAATCGAGATTTGTTAAAGGGCATAAGCTACGAATGAATTAGACAAAAAGTATCATATGGTATTTTTTGTTTAAACATTTATAAACGTGGAATATAGAAATATTATTTTGTTATTAGCAGTCAGGTTTTTCAGTTTCCGTCAAAATAAGCTGAATACATCGCTGATGTATTATTAGCTTGCCAGTAAATGATTAAACGTGTTTGAATCCGTATTCACGCA